CATAGTAGTCGCCGCGGTCCCTAGACCGTGAGGAGCGATCACGGTCCCTGGCATGGTGACGGTAGGGGCTCGGGCTCCGGCTGCTCCTGCTGTGGCTCCTCCCGGACCTATGCAGGTGCCCATACAGCCTCTTCCTCAGGTCCCTGCCTATCTCCTTGACATGCATGAAGTTGCAGTACCCTCCGCGGTTGCAGTTGTGCTCCTCAAACTGCCGGCAGGTGGCCTCCCTGAAGTCGGTGACGGGCGAGAACTCAGCAATGATGGGGCGGCCCGAGTAGAACCTCCCCTGCAGCGCCTGGAGGGCCTTGGCGGCCTGGTCCTCCTCCCTGAACTGCACGTAGACGTTGCCAATGAGGTGGTCGGCGAGGTTGTCGCAGACGTGCAGGTTCTCGACCTCGCCGTGCTTGCTGAGCTCGTCGAAGATGTCCTCGTAGAAGTCCTCGAAGTCGCCCTGGATCTTGACGGGGTCGATGGGGTTGCCCTGCGCGTCCACGCCCGGGGTGATCATGTCGGGGCGCTGGTACATGTTGCAGAGCAGCAGCGTGGGCGAGACAGACGGCTTGTTGTGCAGGCGGGAGCAGCGGTCGCCGTGCCGGCACGCGCCGATCTTGAAGTAGAACGGGCAGTTCACGCGGTCCTTCTCCGTGCCGAAGATCGACGCGAGGTGCTCGGCCATGGCGGCGCACCCTGGATTCGCAAGCTAGAGATCTCTGCACTCCCACCACACGAATCACAAATCAAACGCACGAAGTTGCAGCCAAGATTAACGGGATAACATTCCAGATAATTCAAAGGAAAGGGGACAAGAACTTGATACTGCATGCAATTCATCCCAATTCCGGTGGAAGCTGACGAAACCTTCAAAATCAGCAGGCACTTAAATTCCGGATCAAATCGAAAGAAAACGGAACTAAACAAGAGCAAGACTAATCCATAACTTTTATCTCGTCGATTCGCAAGGGGGGGAAGAACCTATCTCCCGACCTGATAAGAATCGACAGAGAAGACACACGAAAGCATCGTCAATCCGATCCGTTTGAACCGAGAGAAAGCGAACGAGCGTAATACGCGGGCACGGGCAACCCAATCCTTTCGAACCTACACATGCATGTATAGATCTACTAGGCGATGTACGGGCACGGGCGCGGAGGAGGCGGCGACGGCTTACCGGAGATCAGCGCCGCCGTAGCCGGAGGGGGAGCAGAAGGTGGAGCAGGGCGGATCTGTTTTGGATAGTTGTTCCAGTAGCATCTGGAAAAGCGGATATAAAGGCCGTGGCGGCGTATCTGGGCGTTGGTTGGGTTTCGGACGGTGGAGATGTGGGGTTTTTTTTTTTGAGGTGCTGGAGACTGCTAGAACCTTCCAGGGGTTTATGGGCGTTGTGGACAGCCCATCGCTGGCCCGGTCCAGCAAGGTGGGTGTTTATGTGTTGAACATTGTAAGCCCATCAAGTCCAATTGTGAGAAGGTAAAAGAAAAAGTCCAATTGTGAGCGATTGACATCGCCCGTGTGTCGGCAGGGTAATAATATTATCAATTGCATTTCAAAAAAAAATAAAAAATAAGTCAATTGGTTTCCTACTAAATTGTTGTTATTTCTCAAAAGAAATTTTGCCTTCTCTCTCTGAAAAAGGCCTACTAAATTCTTCTCAATTTCTATAAAGTTAACAAATTTAAGAAAAATTGTGCATTGCCAAATGTTAGCTTGCCAGAACATTGGCCAACCAATTTTTGCTATAAACCAAACATGCTTTAAAACCGGACACTACGAGGAGAATCCGATAAAGCCCATAAAGAAAAAAATCTTAAAAGTTTTACTTCCCTTCTTGCAAGTAGACTAGGGCAAGGCCTTCCTCCCCTTCATCTCTGTCGACGAGCTCGTGGATTTGCCTCCCCTTGTGCCTGCTGCTCCGGCGGCCGATGATGAGGAGGAAAATCCAAGTGCCTCGCTCGGGCTAGTAGATGGGTTAGGATTTTACTCCTTGCAGAGGCAGAACTTCATCATCGAGTTGGTCTTCAGGCTCCGATCCTCCTCCAGTTCGTCCCTCGGGATGGATTCGATGGAGTTGGCATAGATTCATGTCAACTCCTCATGACGGCAAGGTTAAGATTTCTCATCGTGTACGCGATGACAAGATTTGGTTTCAGGTTCTTTAGATCAATTCAAGAGTTCAACGACGTCGACTGCGGCTTTGGGAAACAAGACTTCCCAACTTTCATTGACAAGGTCAGGACAGCCCCGGTATGTAAGTTGTGATAGCAGCGCGTCGATGTTTCGTTCTGGCGGTGGCTGTGGTTTTTTGCAGGTCCAGGGAATGTATGTTTTATTATGTTTGTGGTGCTTTTGTATTTCTTGTGAACCTTTATAATATACTTGGATCTTTTTATAAACATGCGTAAAAATAAAATGGGTGTTCGGCTGTTGTTTGTAGAAAGTCACGTGTTTGGTTTGGAGAAATTAGTGATAGTGGATGTGAGTTTAAGCGGTATGAAACATTGTTTTGTTCTATGGCAAGGGAGTTAAGGAGGAAAGGAGGAGGATTGATGAGGTCAATTCTCATGTATCTTTTCCATGTTCCTTAATTCACACGCGATAAAGATTCCCTCAAATTCTCACTACTAGTTGCCAGACGCACAATCAATGGTGGGGTATAGCGAATTTCATCTTCTTCGTCTTCCAGAAGCATAGTATGAAATTCGTCGTGGTGATTTATGTAAAAAAAAGTCATGGTACTTATATTTGTCTCGAAGAAGCATAGTGTAAAAATGTTATGGTATGATAGGTCGGAGATTACATTTTGAAGTCTCAAGAAATGCTAAATCGAATTCTACATGGTATTATTGATGTATACTATACGTGTGCAGAGTTTGATGACGAAATAGGTTAGCATGTGAGCTACACAAAAAAAGACAGATGTGCGGATTTCTAGCGGTGAACTGTGTGTACTGTTCATGCTTTAAAAATCATGAAAAGGTGTGATTTGATCTAAGTTTACATTGTTTGGCTCAATGCTTGGATGTTGCATGGATGGCTTCGATCCAATTTTAAATGGACTTGAGTTTTATTTTGTGATGATCCCTGCTGGATCATTGTGGGACATGACATACGATCAAAACTAGTGTACTACATTAGTGTTAGTGTTGATCAAATAGCTGACCATGTGGATATGATAATTAGATTTTATTAAGTGCAGTGTCGATATTTACATCAGCTTATTGTATAAATTGGATTTCTATTACTTAATACAAGACTACTAGTTTTTAAATATAGCCACCCGTGCCTACCAAATAGCATATTTTTGTAGACAGGGTCTTGGGGATGAGAGGGAGCTAGGAAATGAAGGGGAATTGAGGGGGTCGAAGATGTGAGGGGACCCCCTTAGGGCTTATTCGGTTGGAAGGAAGGGGATTGGAGTAGATTAAATCCCGCAAAATAAATCCCCTACAGGCCAAAATCCCCCTCAATCTGCTCCAATCCTCTTCAGGAGAGGTTTAACTGAACAAAGCCTTAGGCCCCGAAATCCCCTTGTATCAAACAAGGCCTTATGACGGTTTCATAAGGCCCGTCACCAATAGGCTTTAGAGAGAAAGTAGTCCTTGAAGCGGCCATGTCAAGGCCACAAGGGGATTGCTGGCATTCGGTATGCCCCAATTGCTGGTGGATTATTTTCTTGCTCGGGGAGACATCACAACATACAACAAGCAACCCACCTTCATATCTATTTGTATTTTTTGTTGGGCCAAGTCTCTCCGCATGGAGATGTGTTGGCAACCTAACTTCAGCCCATAAGTCTAACACAATGTGAGTCGTTGATCTCAGTTGCGTCCAACGATTGTGATTGCTTCCTGATGAAGGAGGAAGAAGAAAACCCTATCCACTTCACCCTTGTATGGTGGTGGCTATTTGGCTGCACTATGAGATTGTGCGAGTAAGAAAGAGCACACAAAGCCACAGCTCAACATGTGAGAAGAGAGGAAGAAAAATGAGAGGTGAGTTTACTAGAATTGCTATAACTGACTACACAATGCTCAAGCTGGTGATTGAAAGCTCAAACGTATTTGGATTGGCACAAAATTTGGTCGGCTTGTTTACTTTGAGTATGTGGACATGGATAGCTATTTTGAGGATTGGATCAGTGGACCATCTGATTTGAGAATGGTTCTTGTCAATTCAGACTACTGCAGTTTCAACACAGTAGTTTTGGGAGACGGACATATTGGGTAGGGGTCTTGTCGGTGTCAAAACCGGCGGATCTCGGGCAGGGGGTCCCGAACTGTGCGTCTAGGCGGATGGTAATAGGAGACAAGGGACACGATATTTTTACCCAGGTTCGGGCCCTCTCGATGGAGGTAAAACCCTACTCCTGCTTGATTGATATTGATGATATGAGTAGTACAAGAGTAGATCTACCACGAGATCAGAGAGGCTAAACCCTAGAAGCTAGCCTATGGTATGATTGTTGTTCGTCCTACGGACTAAAACCCTCCGGTTTATATAGGCACCGAAGAGGGTTAGGGTTACACAGAGTCGGTTACAATGGTAGGAAATCTACATATCCGTATCGCCAAGCTTGCCTTCCACGCCAAGGAAAGTCCCATCTGGACACGGGACGAAGTCTTCAATCTTGTATCTTCATAGTCCAGGAGTCCGGCCGAAGATGATAGCTCGGCTATCCGAACACCCCCTAGTCCGGGACTCCCTCAGGTCTCTCGGTGGTTGCGCCAGAACGACCACTGCCGCTGCGCCGTTGCCGCTGCTCCTCTATCAGGCTGGCTTAACCTTATAAATGATAGCTCGGAAGTCTTCATTCATGTGCCTTAAGGACCAACGTCTATAGTCGCAATTGTCGCCATTAAACCCATATAGATTCGAAGCAACTGATACCAAATCTCGCCGTCGCGCGCGCTTGATGAGTAGTAAAATTGGAAAAAAAAATCAAAACATACGTGAAGTTTCTTTCATGTCACAAGTTTTAATTGTGTGTAATTTTTCATGATAAAATGACATTAAAGGTGATTTTAAAAAGGTCTGAGATCAAAAGTTACTCTCTTCCCCTCGCAAAAAAAGTTACTCTCTTGGTCCTAATAAGTGTCTCAATTTTAATAAAATTCTGTATTAAAGTTAGTACAAATTTGATACGCTTATTTTAGGACGGAGAGAGCATTTTTTAAAACTTTCTAGAACAGAACAATTTACCGACACACTACAAAAGCACAAGAGGACAAGATGAAAGTTTAGAAAAACGTTGAAAATCCACGAGTCCTAGCAAAAGTGTGTGCGGCGACATTCAGACTATGATTATTTTTTCTTGCGAGAAACATTCAGACTATGGTGAACGTGTGAAGACGAGAGATGTGCAGTTCGGATTCCGCAATGGTTCGCCGATGGCCCCCAGACTGCGATGCGAGGAGGAGGGAGCACGCACGACACGTCGACACATCACCTCTTCTTCTTTTGCGGGGGATCGACACATCACCTCTGCCTCCGGCAGCTGAGGACTGAGGTGCAGCGATGGCGTTGGCGCGCGCGCTCAAAGTCTGAAAAGACACTCACCTCTGAAGTTTCTGATCGCTGCATCAACACGGCAATGCCCATCCGAGGTAGAAATCACATATTTGACCTGAGACAGAAATCAAATCACAAACTGACCTGGTCACGAAAAAATTTCACTCTGCT